CTGGCCATATAGTATAAAACCGCTGTCAATCAATATGGTAAATTTCTGTGTGGTATCAAAAGCCTCCAAATGCTCATTGTGATCCTTATTGCCACCTAAGAAAGCAATGGTCTGAATATTGCAGTGCTTGGAAGCGTGCCACTCATAATCCGGTCACCCTTGGACAGGCTTTTAGTGGTGGTTACCCTGCTGACGATGCCTGCTGTTGGTCCTGAACAGTCGACAGAAGGGAGGCAGTGGCACAGAGTCTGTAGAACTGTAGACGTGGATGAGCAGAATAGGGTTGGCGTCTAAAATGTTTGATATTTATGTATTTTTAATTCACATGTCCTTGACAAGATCATTCTACCCAAGGCATTGCTTTCTAGGCACCATCTGACCAAGACCTCCATGATGGGTCTAGTAGTTCTTCCACATCTGAAGAGCTGCAGATTTCTGAGTGCCGCTTTAACCTTTCTTTAGAAGTACTTGTACTTTTTCTCCCTACGTTCAGTTATAGACTGCGCACAGTTAACAGTATTGTTGTGAAGGGATTAACGGAGATCGGAATGCAAAGACTCTTCAAGACGCTTTTATTTTTCTTGAAGTGACTGAGTGCTTTCCATTTTCTCCCCCTGGCCTCTCCTCCTCGCTGTGGGTACCGCTCCTGGCACCGGCGACTTGTAATTGGTCATCTCTTCAGAAATGCCCCTCTCCTATTCCAGCTTTTTCTTTTTTTCTTTTAAAGGGATCTTCTTTGTGTAGATGTGCTTTTGATCACTTAGCAAAGGTTGAGATGTTTCTTTTTTTTGTGTTGTTTTTTTAGGGCATTTACACCAGATTTGAGCATCGCGTTGTTGTAATTTGGTCTGAGAGACGTTTTAGACTTATTTAGAAGATGTTCATGGTATGCAGAGTTCCCAACATGCATGAATGATTCATGGAGAATAGTTGTTGTAGAGGGTGGAACACAGTTCAAGTGGCGAGAGAGAGAGACAGACCTTTACAGTGAAACTCTACCCAACTTTTATTTTGTTGGGTGGAATGGGAATGGGCAATGGTTGAGCCCCTACTAAGCTTTCACTGCTACTTGTGACCCTGGTCCTGTATTGAAATCCAGCAGTGAATTTAGGCACCATTGACTTTTTTTTTACAAGTAAAGTTTGCCAGACCACTGCAGTGAGACCACTGCTTACACCCATAGAACCAGGTTCAACTATGCAGGGTGTTTTTAGAAAGAAAGCAAGCTGTAAAGGCCCCATTCATACTAGATATGCTGGCAGCCATGCCCAGCGCAGTCCCGATGCATAGACAAGGCAAAGAGTCTTGTTTTCAATGTGGTTAGTTCACACCTCAGTGTTGTGGTGGTGTGCACCTAAACAAAGGTGCAGCATGTAGCAGTGCAAACCACCACATCGAAATGCTGCTGCGGTGACTAGAACTGAATGAAATGTCACCTGTGACATCCCCACAGAGCTACCTCCTCATGTATCACTGGCCCCTCCCTTTTAGATTGTAAGCTCTCAGGGGCAGGGCCCTCTTTACCATATTGTCTTGAATTGCATTGTGATTGTAATGTCTTCCTTATATTGTATAGCGCTGCGCAAACTGTTGGTGCTCTATAAATCCTGTATTATAATTAGGGATGCACCGATATATCGGCCGCCGAAACATATCGGCCGAAAATTGCACTTTTGGCATAATGCCAAAAGTGCCATTTTTCTGCCGATCCATCCGTGCATCCCTGCTTTCTTTCCTCCCTCCCCACTGGGCGCTGCTCTGTGTCCCAGCGGGAAGGAGAGAAACTGTGATGGCCCACCGAGCGCTGCGGGAGGAGAGCGCTGTGAGAGGCTGGCGTCTCTCCTCCCACACCGCTCAGCCTCCTATCACAGTCCGGCAGAGCGGTGTGGGGGCGGAGGCAGGCCGCGCTGTCACAGGAGGCTGAGCTCTCGTCCCGTCACCGCTCGCTCAGCCTCCTATGACAGCGCGTCAGAGAGGAGAGCGGGTACAAGCAGTCAGTGGTCAGTGATCGCTGAGTGTTTGTACATAATTGAGGATATGGTATGTTAACTAGTGAGCTAAATCACCTCCTGTTCATTCATGATTGGGGTTATAGTAAACACACTCTGTTCTCAAGTTATGAATGAACAGGAACACTCAGTATAGAGGATTCCTCTTCATGTATAACAGGGGATACAGAAAAAGAGATAGAGGACTTATAGCAGTATGAGGGAGCCTGTCAGGAGTACTGCATGTACTGAGGGGATGAGAAAGCACAGTGAGCAGAGAGATCACTTTATCTGTCTACTGCTGCTTCACTGTCCAATCACCAAGCTGCCGGTGGAAAAATGACACTGATGTATTCATTAAAGTGCAACTGAAGCCCAAACTTCTTTTTTCCCTTTTGTTTTGGGTGCAGTGGAGAGAGATTAGAACACCTATCAGGTTTTTATTGCTGTCTATGCCCCCATTAGAGAGATTCATCTTCTCTAAGGGCTTGTTCACACCAAATGAAGACCAGATCTGCAGATTCTGCACACACAGTGCCACGTTTTTGATGCTTTTCCAGGGCGGGTTTTTTTTTCTTTGTTTAAAATGGGCTTCAGTGCGTTCCAGGGCGTTTGCATGCGTTTTTGATGCGTTTGCATGCGTTCCAGAGCAGGTAAAATAGGGCTTGCTGCAGTTTTTTTTACATGCTCTGGAACTGAACACTGCGGTGTGAACCAGAGCCTAAAATACCATTGGAATACATTAGACGCAGTTTTGATTCGGTCTGTAACTGCTCTGCTCTGCTCCTGGAACGTGCTTGGTGTGAACAAGGCCTAAGGCTCGATTCACACAGGAGCGGTTGTCCGCGCCAAATATGTGCGGCACCGCACTATATAGAAAAAACAATGCACTTTAATGTGCATTGTTCAGACTTTTAGTGGCGGCCATGCGGTACGTAACCCGCAAAATAGTCCAAGCGTAATTTATTTTTTGGGTCAGATTCCGCACGTACACGGCTATATAATAGCGCCAACGGGTGGAATCCGTGCGGATGAAAGATTTTAATGTTTGTGTTGACGCGTGGTCTGTAACACGGAAAACCGTGCGAGAAACGCAAACGCTATAGGTGGATGGAGCCTCATTGTCCCGGTGACTGATATCAGTGAAAGTGAATCCCAAGCAGAACTGAAATAGATGGGAAATCTTCCAATGGGGACACAGGTTCCGGTGACCATCAGGGAATTAGGTTTTCGTGCCCGAGTACAGCTTTAACTTTTACTATATGTGTGTCTATACAGTATATGTGTGTATGTGTGTATGTATAATATATATATATATA